GGGTTTGGCATTTACTGAGTTTTCAAATTATCAGCCATTGATACTCTGCATTTTGTTGTCAAAAGCTTTCATGGCCGGAATCACTGGGTCGCTGTGAGTCTTCCGGGCTGCGTGGCCGTGTTCCAGAAGCATTCCCGCCCACACCTCTCTATGGTAGGCATCCTCAGAGGGGTGAGGCCTGTGGGAAAGCAGGCAAGTGGGGTTGATATATCTGTGGGAAGCCAGGCAGGAAGCAGCCAGGTTTTGGACCTGCAAGGCCATTCAATGGTAACGAAGGTGGTCAATTGAAACAGACAATAGTTCTTTCTTTCTCCCACCTGGGTATCCCTCCACAGGGATGTATGTAGACCCCACACGATTTCCCGATTCCCACAAGCCTCCCTCCCAACCCCTGAGGATGCCTTCAGCCAGAGAGAGATGGAGGGGAAGTGTCAGGAGAGAGTGCTTCTGGAACCTGGCCAGGCAGCCCGGAAGACCATTCACAGCAACAACCCAGGGATGCATGTTGTGTCTGTGAACACCTGGCTGGGCCAGGACAGAGAGAGAGGGGGGGGGGAAGGAGAGGGGGGGAGGGAGGAGTAGTTCCCCAACAACCCCTGTCCGGGCCTTGGCCCTCCCCTTGGCCCTCACCGCCGCCCCACAGCACGGCCAGCAACATCTGAGGATGCCTGCCAGAGAGATGGAGGGGGAATGTCAGGAAAGAGTGCTTCTGGAACCTGGCCAGGCAGCCTGGAAAACCATTCACAGCAACAACCCAGGGATGCATGTTGTGTCTGTGAGAGCTTCTGAACCATTGGCCAGAGAGAGAGGGGGGGGGGAAGGAGAGGGGGGGAGGGAGGAGTAGTTCCCCAACAACCCCTGTCCGGGCCTTGGCCCTCCCCTTGGCCCTCACCGCCGCCCCACAGCACGGCCAGCAACATCTGAGGATGCCTGCCAGAGAGATGGAGGGGGAATGTCAGGAAAGAGTGCTTCTGGAACCTGGCCAGGCAGCCTGGAAAACCATTCACAGCAACAACCCAGGGATGCATGTTGTGTCTGTGAGAGCTTCTGAACCATTGGCCCGAGAGAGAGGGGGGGGGGGGAAGGAGAGGGGGGGAGGGAGGAGTAGTTCCCCAACAACCCCTGTCCGGGCCTTGGCCCTCCCCTTGGCCCTCACCGCCGCCCCACAGCACGGCCAGCAACATCTGAGGATGCCTGCCAGAGAGATGGAGGGGGAATGTCAGGAAAGAGTGCTTCTGGAACCTGGCCAGGCAGCCTGGAAAACCATTCACAGCAACAATTCAGGGATGCATGTTGTGCCTGTGAGAGCTTCTGAACCATTGGCCCTCCCCCAGAGAGAGAGAGAGAGACTCCCTGTCTCCCTTGCCAGCCCCGTCCTCCCTCCCCCCCTCTCCCTCCGCAGGGACCCCTCCCTCCCTCCCCAGGCTGGGCCAGGAAGGAGGAGAGGCCAGGCCTCTTCGGGAGGAGCTGCAGCCTAGCTCTGCCTCCCAGCCTCCTTCCTGCAGTGCGGCTCCTTTAAGGCCAAGCCCCGCCCCTCTTTGGGCACACACGCCTCCTCCTCCCGCCATGACAGCGCCGGGCGGAAGTAGGCCTCCGGGGTGACGTCACGGCCAGGCCATTGGAGACAGAGGGAAGGGGGGGGAGGCCTCCGCGGGCGGAAGTGAGAGAGAGCGGCGCTTCTTCCGGTTGGGCCTAGCCGAGGGAGAGGCAGCCAGGCTTCTTCCCAGGTGGAGTGGAAGGGGAGGGGAGGGAGGAAGGAAGGCCTACTCGGGAGTATGGGAGGGAGGAGCAGGAGGCTCTTCGGGTGGGATTCCCTCAGATAAGAGGAGGAGGAGGCCTGAGGCCTGAGGCCTGTGCTGGGGAGTCAGCCTGGGAATCAGCCCCGGAAGGGTGGGTGGGTGGCCTCAAATCAATTTCTTATTACACTTTGACATCCAAAGACAGCTGGAATGTGTCCAGAGGAGGGCGACTCAAAGGATCAAGGGTCTGGAGAACAAGCCCTATGAGGAGCGGCTTAAGGAGCTGGGCATGTTTAGCCTGAAGAAGAGAAGGCTGAGAGGAGATATGATAGCCATGTATAAATATGTGAGAGGAATCCACAGGGAGGAGGGAGCAAGCTTGTTTTCTGCTTCCTTGGAGACTAGGACGTGGAACAATGGCTTCAAACTACAAGAGAGGAGATTCCATCTGAACATGAGGAAGAACTTCCTGACTGTGAGAGCTGTTCAGCAGTGGAACTCTCTGCCCCGGAGTGTGGTGGAGGCTCCTTCTTTGGAAGCTTTTAAATAGGGGCTGGATGGCCATCTGTCAGGGTGATTTGAATGCAATATTCCTGCTTCTTGGCAGAATGGGGTTGGACTGGATAATGGCCCAGGAGGTCTCTCCCAACTCTTTGATTCTATGACAGTCAGCCTTGTTTGCGCTTCGCTCTGGGAACCATCTCTTTCCTTGAGTTCCTGAAAATTGTCCCCCATTTTGAGCCCCTTGAAGAGGGATTGAGCCAGGTTCAACCGATTCGTTTTTAAGAATTCTGTATTTAATTCAGTTTAATATCTAGACCTTGTGGATTTGACTTGCTAGGCTCTGAATGCCACACGCACTTGAGTCTTCTCTTCATTTGCTTCATGGCTGCCAAGGAGCAGGTTTGGCTCGGCTACTTGAGAGGGGACGTTCCAGAGCCATCGTGTCTGTTGCCCTAGGTAGTTAATGATTTTGGTGTCTTCAAAATTATTCACTCTCATTGGGTTGTTGTAGGTTTTTCCGGGCTAAATGGCCATGTTCTAGAGGCATATTTTCTCCTGACGTTTCGCCTGCATCTATCGCAAGCATCCTCAGAGGTAGTGAGGTCTGTTTGGAAGTAGGAAAATTCATATATCTGTGGAATGACCAGGGTAGGACAAAGAACTCTTGTCTGATGGAGCTAGGTATGACTGTTTCAACTGACCACCTTGATTAGCATACAATGGCCTGGCAGTGAACTCTCATTCATTCATTCATTCATTCTTTCATTCAGTTTCATTCAAACCATATATCACATCAAATCTGCACGTTATATTTCTTGTGACAAGCAGATGGTGAATCCTGGGTGGCATATGTTGTTCTGTGTCAGAAAGTAGAGCTGATGTGTTCTCTCCAGTGCAGTTTTCTGAATCAGCACCCCAAATAACCAAACCAAATCTAATGTTGACCAAAAACTGATTCGTAACCCTTTGGGTACTAATGTTGGAGAGGGGTCCCTGGCCAAAGTGGCCCCTGGTCCCAAAAAAGGTTGGGAGCCACGGCACTAGACAGACGGCACAAGGGATTGCAAATGGAAGCCTAGGCAAGCCATGGGAAATTCAAACAGGGACCCCGCAGGGATGCCCGCTCTCGCCTCTTCTATTCATAAAACTTCTTACAATACTGTTAAGGGACATCAGAGGTGAGGAAATGGTTTCTGGAAAAAGGATTGAACAGGAAAATATAATTTTAATATGAGAAAAGAGTAAATAGAGAGAGGTCTAGAAGGTGAAGCGTATGATCTTAGCTTTCTTTGAGACTAGATTGGAAGAGACCAGAGGTCACCTATCTTCCCCTCTTTTTTCTCCCCCCCTCCTTTTAAGTAAAGGATGTATAAAAAATGAGGGTGCAGATAAAAGCAGTGTTACATGGACATGAAGTCTGTATAAATATGAGCACCCATGGAAACCAGGAGGGCCTTCTCTTCTGCGGTCTCCCCATGATGGGATGCCCTCCTCTCCAAAGCCCACCTGGTGCAGAGGTTGGTGCAACTCCAGTCTCCAGGTCTGCATTATCATCCCTTTCCTTTCAAATGAATTACAACTCATAAACCATTAATAAGAAATGTTTAAAGTAGTAATACCTAAACAATTGTGTTTCGGGAACACAAGCTCGTGTTTTTAAGAAATACATTTTTCAAAGCAGACACACCACACTGCAGAGCTGGAGGTAATCCGTGAAGCCTGGGGTGGCGGCAACACATCCACCGCTCCCCATTCATGAGCAAAGGAAGGGCGGGAAGGATGTCAATGCCTTCGGGAGGCAGGAAGAGGAGGGCGGAGGGGCCTGCAAAGACAGGAGGGGAGGGTGGACTCGAAAGGAGAAGGCCCAAAAAGCCACGCGGAGGAAGAATCCCTGCAGCCTCAGAAAAGTTATGAGTCTGGCCTTCCAAGGAGGAGAAGAGCATGCTTCCCCTTTGAAGTCCTGTGTCTCTTTCCTGCAGGACTCTGGAGTTTGTAGTTGAGAGAGGCCCAGGACCCCCCTGGCTGAGGATGAGAAAGGCCCCTCCCTGAACACCTGGCAGTGTAAGAAATCGCACACAGAGAATCTTTGTGCCTGTCCCCTTTGTACCTGAGGAAGGATTGTTCGTAGTTTGCCAAGTGTCACCAGGCAATGGGCAGCTTCCCTCTTCCTCTGGGTTTGCTACAGCACTAGACTTCCTCTTCGTGTTCCATGAGATCTTTCTCTGTTCAACTGCTGAAGAGATTTTCCTCTCATTTCTCTGGCAGGTAACTTCTGAACAAGTTCTGCGAAGAACGCCTTGTGAGAGCTTTGCCCAAGGAGTGTTGTAAGTCCAAAGTGACCTAAAGATACACAACAATGACAACAAGAAAAAAATAATTAGTAGAAAAATATATTTCAAGCTACATACCTGTGCTGTTAAGGAGAGGAAATGAGAATGTTCTGAAAAAAGAGAGGCTTGGGAAAGCAAGCAGAAGGCTAAAGCAATACAAAACCTGTGCTGTTCAGGAGGTTTAAATCTGTGAACCCCTGGCATCATATTTGAATTATAAATGTGGAAGAATGGCAAGCCCTTTACCTCTGTTTCCTAGATCAGACACACGGGAGAAGTTACATCAGTGTATGGAGTGTGGAAAACAATTTGAAAAGAAAAGTTCTCTTACTGTACATGAACGGACCCACACAGGGGAGAAGCCATATCAGTGCATGGAATGTGGAGAAAGCTTCAGTCAGAGTGGCACTCTACATTCCCATCAAAGGACACACACAGGGGAGAAGCCATATAAATGCATAGAATGTGGAGAAAGCTTCAGTCGCAGTGACAATCTACGTTCCCATCAAAGGATCCACACAGGGGAGAAGCCATATAAATGTATGGAATGTGGAAAGAGCTTCAGTGAGAGTGGCACTCTACGTTCCCATCAAAGGACACACACAGGGGAGAAGCCATATAAATGTATGGAATGTGGAGAAAGCTTCAGTCGCAGAGACACTCTACGGTCCCATCAAAGGATCCACACAGGGGAGAAGCCACATAAATGTATGGAATGTGGAGAAAGTTTCAGTCGCAGTAGCAATCTACGTTCCCATCAAAGGATCCACACAGGGGAGAAGCCATATAAATGTATGGAATGTGGAAAGAGCTTCAGTCACAATTGCATTCTACGTTCCCATCAAAGGATCCACACAGGGGAGAAGCCATATAAATGTATGGAATGTGGAGAAAGCTTCAGTCAGAGTGGCCATCTACGGTCCCATCTGAGGATCCACACAGGGGAGAAGCCATATAAATGTATGGAATGTGGAGAAAGTTTCAGTCGCAGTGGCAATCTACGTTCCCATCAAAGGATCCACACAGGGGAGAAGCCATATAAATGTATGGAATGTGGAGAAAGCTTCAGTCAGAGTGACCATCTACGGTCCCATCTGAGGATCCACACAGGGGAGAAGCCACATAAATGTATGGAATGTGGAGAAAGTTTCAGTTGCAGTAGCACTCTACGTTCCCATCAAAGGATCCACACAGGGGAGAAGCCATATAAATGTATGGAATGTGGAAAGAGCTTCAGTCACAGTTGCACTCTACGTTCCCATCAAAGGATTCACACAGGTGAGAAGCCATATAAATGTATGGAATGTGGAGAAAGCTTCAGTGAGAGTGGCCATCTACGGTCCCATCAAAGGAAGCACACAGGGGAGAAGCCATATAAATGTATGGAATGTGGAGAAAGCTTCAGTCAGAGTGGCACTCTACATTCCCATCAAAGGATCCACACAGGGGAGAAGCCATATAAATGTATGGAATGTGGAGAAAGCTTCAGTCGGAGTCACCATCTACGTTCCCATCAAAGGATCCACACAGGGGAGAAGCCACATAAATGTATGGAATGTGGAAAAAGCTTCAGTCGGAGTGACCATCTACGTACCCATCAAAGGATCCACACACGGGAGAAGCCATATAAATGTATGGAATGTGGAAAGAGCTTCAGTCGCAGTGGCAATCTTCATTCCCACCAAATGACTCACCCAGTACAGAAGCCATAGAAGTACATAGAATGTGGAGAAAGTTTCAGTCAGAGTAACTATCTCGATTCCTTCCAAATCTATCTACATTGCTTTCAAAGGAGCCACATAGTAGAGAAGCCATATAAATGCACGGAATGTGGGAAGAGCTTTAGAGAACGTTCAGCATACAATAAACATCACTGAACTCATGCGCCGCTAGAGGAGACCTGCCTTTCAGTTTCTGAGCTCTCTTTCAAAAAATATTGGAAGGAAAGAGGAAGGCCGGCACCTGGCTCTCTCTCTCTCTCTCTCTCTCTCTCTCTCTCTACCATGAACTACAGTTTGTGTGGCCTTGGTCGGTGGCTACTGGGAGCAGGTCTCACTCAGAAGGGGATTTTTCACCGTATTGCATCAAACTCCGAAGGGGTTCCCCTCGCCTCCTCCATAAGAAACTCATCACAGGCTTCTAGGGTGATCTGTGGAGGTTTGCTGAAAGGAGCAGCAGCTGAGATCTCTGGAGAAAAGGGTTCTGAAGAAGAAGAGCTCTTTGGTAGCAGAGAAGGTCATCTCTTCATACCCTCGTCTCCCGTCTTGGCTCTGTTGCCCCTCGGTTAGAATTTTGGGCTCCAGCCATGTCCCTGTCACCCTTTTCTGGACTTCGTTGTATCCTGAATAGTTGATTATACATTCTGGACTGTCTTCTGGTTGAGAACTCACAGCATGTTGAGAATGAGAACTTACTGCTTAATGTTTGTTATAGATGTTTTTCTTGATTGAACAATTGATGTTTATATAGAGTTTGCCCATGGTGTTGAGACAATAATAATCTTATTGTATGTAATGTATGCATTGTGTAATTCAGTGTTATAATTGATTGAGTTATTGTAGAACTTAACACATTGATCCATAGATATTGGTTGTTTTGTACTGTTTAATGGCCAAGGGTCCATGAGGAGACACAGCACATCTCCCTAACTGCAGAGAATGGAAGACAAAGAATGTAGGACTTTTTAATAAAAGTACCAAAATTATAATTTGTGTAAAGAACATTAAAGACCAAATTTGTAATTTGTATCAACATGCTTTGTTTTTGTTTTTTGTCTTTGGATAAAAATTGTCTTTTTTAAAAAAATAAATAAAGTGTGCTACATCAGTTTAAAAAGCCAGTGTGATTTTAGGCTGTCCCAATGGGAGCGTGAGGGTTTTAGTGGAAGTTTTCGTGGACTCTCTTCTAGACGTGGATCAGGCCTCCCCTGGAATCACCCTGCGTTCTGTTCTGGGCAGCACCATTCCAGCAAGATTGTGAGACGCTAGAATCTCTCCAGAGAAGGGCGATAGGGAATGGCTGAGGGAGCTGGGGATGTTTAGTTTGGAGGAGGAAAAAGGCCGAGAGGACAGGAGAGCCAATATTTGGAAGGATGTCCCATTGAGGGGAAAAGGGCCAGTTGTTCCTGCTGCTCTGGAGACTAAGATATGACACAACTGATTCACGTTGCAGGAAAGAACCTTCCACCTAAACTGTAGGAAGCATTTCCTGATGGGAAGAGCTGTTCTGCCATGGAAGCATTGTCCCATCTCAGGAGCCCCCCTTCCCAAGGCCTGGCCTTCCACCTCCTGGGGACTCCGTGTCCCAAAATCCCTGATCTTGGACCAAGGCAGCTGAGGCTTTTGGGTGTTGGAGTCCAAGAAATCCTGAAGGAATCCAGTTTGGAAATCCCTGCTGAAGATTTAGAAAGGAACAAGGAAAATGTGCATTGAATATCTGCCACCACTTTAAAATGCACTTGTCACTTCTGATCAGTTATATATTCACTAAGCATGTGAGATATCTGCCACCACTTTATCTGCCACCACTTTAAAATGTATTTGTCACTTCTGATCAGTTATATATTAACTAAATATGTGAGAGGAAGCCACAGGGAGGAGGGAGCAAGCTTGTTTTCTGCTTCCCTGGAGACTAGGATGCAATGGAACAATGGCTTCAAACTACAAGAGAGGAGATTCCATCTGAACATGAGGAAGAACTTCCTGAGTGAGAGCCGTTCAGCAGTGGAACTCTCTGCCCCGGAGTGTGGTGGAGGCTCCTTCTTTGGAAGCTTTTAAACAGAGGCTGGATGGCCATCTGTCAGGGGTGATTTGAATGCAATATCCCTGCTTCTTGGCAGAAAGGGGTTGGACTGGATGGCCCATGAGGTCTCTTCCAACTCTTTGATTCTATGATTCTATGTCTGTTTCCATTGGGATCTTTCAGATGCCGGAAGTAAATTCGGGTGTTTTTGATATCCAAATGGGTTCCAAGTGCTATAACTCCCATCATTCCCTAGTCCATGGCCAATTGGCCAACTGTCAGTGGTTGTGGTGGTGCCCCCTTCTGCCAGGAAGAAGGAAGTTGGACCAGATGGTCCTTGGGGTTTTCCTCCAACTGTAGGAATCTATGAAAATGAGGAATTGGTTGATAATTGGTTTCTTCTTTTGGTTAATATGAGAGAAGAACGTTGCAAAATTACCATAAATGGGTAGATGTATGAATATGCCTGGAAGTTGGGGGGACGGATCCCGTTACCTTATGTCATTCCCTAAACAATTCAAGGAGGTTGCTCTTTGTATTGTCGAAGGCTTTCATGGCTGGAATCACTAGGTTCTTGTGGGTTTCTTCGGGCTATATGGCCATGTTCTAGAGGCATTCGCCTGCATCTATGGCAAGCATCCTCAGAGGTAGTGGGTCTGTTGTTGCTCTTTTGTTTTTAATGTATTTCCTAAATTCTTTTTTAAAATTCCTAAAATTCAGCGTATCATCTAAACATTCTGAAATTTGGTATACTAACAGCGGAGGATGTGTTGTACAGCTGTTTCATCAGGATCGCTCAAAAACGAGGGAGAGAGAAGCCCCTCAAGTTTCCCCCACATTCTGCCGTTTTTCCCCTATTGCGCATGCACATCGGCCATTAATGAATCACTTCTGAAGGTTTGGAAAGTTTTGAATTTTTTTATGGAAACATTCGGAAGTGACTTTAGAATCGAAGCGCCAGGGTCCCCTACTTTCGAACATAGTTTAGAACTCCCCCCTCCCTTTTTTTTTTTGGATTGCACATGCATAACAGTGTCCAAAATGTAATAAAGATTCCCATGTTGTTACATTATTAGTCCAAAGTTATTTCTTTGGACTCCAGCTCCCATAACGTTTTCCCCACAGAAAGACCTAAGGCAGTGTTTCTGAACCTGGGGGTCGGGACCCCTGGAGAGGGTCGTGAGAGGGTTTCAGAGTGGTCACCAAAGACCATTAGAAAACACGTATTTCTGATGGTCTTTGGAATCCCTTTGGCATAGTTGTTTGGGTTCACAGTACTCTCTGGATCTAGGTGAACTACATCTCCCCTAAATCATGGTCAATTCATCCAAAATCCCTCCAGTCTCTGTGTGGCAAGTTTGGCACAATTCTATTATTGGTGGGGTTCACAATGCTCTTTGATTGTAGGTGAACTATAAATCCCAGCAACTACAACTCCCAAATGTCAAGCCCTATTTTCCCCAAACTCCACCAGTGTTCACATTTAGGCATATGGCATATTTGTGCCAAGGTTGGTCCAGATCTATCATTGTTTGAGTCCACAGTGCTCTCTGGATGTAGGTGAACTACAACTCCAAAACTCAAGATCAATGCCCACCAAACCCTTCCAGTATTTACTGTTGTTCATGGGGGTTCTGTGTGCCAAGTTTGGTTCAATTCCATCATTAGTGAAGTTAAGGATGCTTTGATTGTACGTGAACTATAAATCCCAGCAAGTACAACTCCCAAATGACAAAATCAGTCCACTCCCCTCCCCAAACCCCTCCATTTGGATGTATTGGGTATTTGTGCCCCATTTGGTCCAATGAATGAAAATATATCCACACATGACGATTCATAACAGGAGCAAAATGACAGTTATGGAAGTAGCAACGAAAACAATGTGATGGTTGGGGGTCACCACCACATGAGGAACTGGATTAAGGGGTTGCGGGCGGCATTACGAAGGTTGAGAAACACTGACTTAAGAAGGGCTTTCTTTCTAGGCTAAAGCCAGCACTTTGAATTGTGCTCAGTCGCAGGCTGGCAAGCCATCTCGCTGCCGCCCGTCGGACTCTTTGGAGCTTCTGAACAGTCTTCCAAGGCAACCCAACATGGAGTGCATTGCAGGAATCTATTTGGGATCAAACAAGAGCGTGGAGGACTGTGGCCAAGTCCAACTTCCCAAGGTACAGGTGCAACTGGCACACAAGGTTTAATGGTGCAAAAGCTGCCCTGCCACAAAGTTGCACTTCCAGAGGGAGCGCCGCCCCGTCCCGCACAAGCTGTCACCCTGTGCCCTGCTTGGCCTTACGGCTGACCAGAAGGGCCTCTGTCTTGTTTGGATCCAGTTTCAATTGGTTCGCCCTCATCCAGTCCGGCATCCAGCTGCCTCAGAGGGGTGAGGTCTAGGAGAAAGTAGGGAAGTGGGGCTGATATATATATCTGTGGCAAGCCGGGCAGGAAGCAGCCAGGCTTTGGACCTGCAAGGCCATTCAATGCGAATGAAGGTGGTCAATGGAAACCTCCACGCTTGCCTCCAACAGGCAGACAGGAGTTCTTCCTCTCTCCCAGCCTGGGCATCCCTCCACAGGGATGTATGTATGTCGACCCCACTGGCCCAGTTTGCAAGAGGCCTCCCTCCCTCCCAACCCCTGAGGATGCCTTTAGGCAGAGAGAGGTGGAGGGGAAGTGTCAGGAGAGAGTGCTTCTGGAACCTGGCCAGGCAGCAGCCCGGAAAAACATTCACAGCAACAACCCAGTGAGGGATGCATGTTGTGCCTGTGAGAGGGGGAGAGAGAGAGAGAGAGAGAGAGAGAGGAGCAGAATCTCCCCAAGACAGCCTGCCCGGGCCCTGGCCCTCCCCTTGGGCCTCCCCGGCTAGGCCCCCCAGCACGGCCCTCCCTCTTCCCCCGCAGGTCCCTCCCTCCCCAGGCTGGGCCAGGAAGGAGAGAGAGGCCAGGCCTCCTCGGGAGGAGGAACTGCAGCCTGTGTCTGCCTCCCAACCTCCTTCCTTCCTGCAGCCCGGCTCCTTTAAGGCCAAGCCCCGCCCCTCTTTGGGCACGCACGCCTCCTCCTCCCGCCATGACAGCGCCGGGCGGAAGTAGGGCTTCTGGGTGACGTCACGGCCAGGCCGTTGTTGACAGAGGGAAGGGGGGGGAGGCCTCCGCGGGCGGAAGTGAGAGAGAGCGGCGCTTCTTCCGGTTGGGCCTAGCCGAGGGAGAGGCAGCCAGGCTTCTTCCCAGGTGGAGTGGAAGGGGAGGGGAGGGAGGAAGGCCTACGGGAGTGTGGGAGGGAGGGAAGGGAGGAGCAGGAGATTGCTCTTCGGAGACTCCTCGCTCGGCGGCCTGGCCTCCTCCTCCTCCTGGGATTCCCTCAGAGAAGAGGGGGAGGGGGAGGCCCAGGGAGGGAGGGAGGCCTGAGGCCTGTGCTGGGGAGTGGGGCTCAGCCTGGGAATCAGCCCCGGAAGGGTGGGTGGGTGGCCTCCTCCTCCCCGGGAAAGGGCCCCTGACACTCCTCCCTCCGACCCTCCCCTTGCCGCCTGGTCCCCTCAGGAAAGGGCGCCAGAGGAAGGAAGGCCGCTCCCCTCACCCCCTTCCATCCCCTCCCCTTGTCGCCTTGTCTGTGGGTTCCCCGTCTGCCAGGCTGGGCCCACATCCGTGCCTGGCGGGCTTCCCAGTGCCCTCTGGGCGAGGGGGGACGCCCTGCTGCTCCCTCCCAAACAAACCCCACCTGGGGGCAAAGGGGGGATGGGGATGGGGATGAGGGGGTCCTCCTGCCAGGCTGGGTCCGGGCCCCTCAGCAGTGGGGGGTGGCCGTGGGCTCTGGAAGAGGGAGCCAGTAGGGAATCCCTCGCCCACAAACACACATCTATACAGACAAGCACATAGATTGATAGATAGATAGATAGACAGATAGATAGACAGAGATAGACAGAGAGATAGATAGATGGAAAGACAGAGAGAAAGATAGATAGATAGATAGATAGATAGACAGAGAGAAAGATAGACAGATAGATAGACGGAGAGATA